GCCTCCCGGAGGGAGGCGTGCAGCAGCAGAGCCGTCGGGGCCGTGCAGAGCGCGCCCTTCTGGGCGTTCCAGGCGACAGGCGCCGGCTCGGCCTCCCGCGGCCCTGCAGAGGGGGGCGCACCCCCGGCCACGCGGAGCCCTGCGCCCGTCGAGGCAGCTTCCTAGGGCCGGCATGCCTCCGGGCCCATCCGAGTCCCTTCCCCGGGCTGGACTTCGGAGTCGGCACGCGCTCCCCCTTTGCCCCCCCCCTCCTCGACAGTCGCCCGGGCCCCGGGGGAAGCTCGTACAGGGGGGGGTTGGACTAGATGACCTCGGGGAATCCCTTCCAGCTCCGTTGTGCCCTTGGGGGGGGGTAGTCGCGGGCGGAGCGTGCGCTGTTCTATCCCGCACACCCACCCAACTCTCAGCCTAGCAAGGTGTTCTGCGAGCTTTCCCCTGAGCAAGCCTGTGATGGATGGGGTGGGTTTTATTTGTTTGCATTGCTTATGCCACTGCGGGGAGGGCGGGATATGCATTTAAGAAATAATAAATAAATAAATACCCTGCTTTTTCTTCCCATCCGGAACCCAAAATTTGGTGTAGTGGTTGAGTGTGCGGACTCTAATCTGGGAGAACCGGGTTGGATTCCCCACTCCTCCTCCACTTGCAGCTGCTGGATGACCTTGGGCAAGCAGTTTCTGTCAGAGCTCTCTCAGCCCCCACCCCGCCTACCCCACAGGGTGCCTGTTGTGGGGAGGGGAAGGGAAAGGAGTTTGTAAGCCGCTCTGAGACTCCTTTGGGTACTGAAGGGCGGGGTATAAATCCAGTCTTCAAAGTTGCTTACGTTTTCTCCTGTTTTATCCGCACAACAACCCTGTGAGGTGGGTGAGGCTGATTGCGTGCGGGGCTGGCCCAAGGGCCCCCCCTCCCCAAAGCTTCCATGGCAAAGCAGGGATTTGAATCCGGGTTTGCCTGGATCCTATTCTAGATACTCCAACCGAGGTAGCTCACCAAGTAGGATTTTTGCTCACAAGACTCCACAGCTGAGAGGGAGGCATTGCCCCCTCCCCACGCAGCCCCTGGCCTGGCTGTGGAGGGAGGAAGGGAGGACTGCAGGCCCTCGGGGAGCGCTGGGGGCCAGTGGGTGGCCCGTGCTGCAGGGCCCCAGGCCTGGATAGGCAAGGCAGACCCCACCAAGGGGCCCCAGCTCTGAGCCTGCCTGGCACCCATTCCCTTGGTGCTTGGGAGGAGCCTGGGCCCACCTGCCATGCCTCTCCCTCTCTCTCTCCCCTGCCCCCCCAGCATGGCAGCCACGGTGTTTGTGCAGCCCCTGGACCTGGTGAAGAACCGCATGCAGCTGAGCGGCGAGGGGGCCAAGACGAAAGAGTACAAGACGAGCTTCCACGCCGTGGGCAGCATCCTCCGCAAGGAGGGCGTGCGGGGCATCTATACTGGGTAGGGGTGCACCGGGAGTGGGTGGGTCCCTCTATCTTTCCCTTGGGATAACCCCACCCCCCCTCACCCTAGCTCTGAGTTTCATCAGCTCCTGGGAGATGTTGACGGGTCAAAGATCGGGCAAGTTGTTCTTTAAAAGAACGCAAAAGAGGCTGTGGAAAAACCCGGAGCTGTTGCATCGCGCTGGTGCGTGCGCGTGTGCTGGTTCACCGCAGTTGCTCTTTGCCAGGGGGCAAAGTTTGGGATGGGTTGTCTCTGGGGCAGACGCTCACCCCCAACCCTCCCCCAAGCTGCCTGCTGGTAGGAGGGACCAGGGCCCTGAGTTCCGCTTGGGAGTGGAGGGGCTGGCTCCGTGCCAGCAGGAGGGCTGGGGGTGTGCCTGTCGCCCCCCTGACCCGCTGGCCTCTTGTGGCAGGCTCTCTGCTGGCCTCCTGCGCCAGGCCACGTACACCACCACCCGCTTGGGCATCTACACTATCCTCTTCGAGAAGCTCACGGGCGAGGACGGGCGGCCCCCCAACTTCTTCGTCAAGGCCCTGATCGGAATGACGGCGGGGGCTGTCGGGGCCTTCGTGGGCACGCCGGCTGAGGTGGCGCTCATCCGGATGACGGCCGACGGCAGGTGGGTGCCGCGGGGGGGAGGAGGGGTCGCCCACGGGGCTGAGCCTGGCTTGCTTGTGCCGCGGGTGCCAGGGAGTGTCTCTCTCTCTCACACAGGCTTCCCCCGGACCAAAGGAGAGGATACACGAACGTCTTCAACGCGCTGCTGAGGATCACCCGCGAGGAGGGGGTGCCCACGCTCTGGAGAGTACGTGTCTGTTGGGGACGGGGGGGGCAGCCGCCCATGCCCGGGAAGAGCCCCTTGGAAACAGAGGCGCCTCCTGGAGCCTGCAGGGAGCGCCTCAGCTGGACATCTGGCTTCTGGGGGGGGGGGGGGTGTGCAGAGTCCTCAGAGGGCTCCTTTGGGGCCTGCCTGGTCTCTCTTGGAGCCAGAGGGCCTTTCTGGGTCAGGGCCCGGGGGCTGCCTTCCCGCCCTGATGGCACCTCTCCTCTCCTTCCTCATCTGCTTCTGCCCTAGGGGTGTGTGCCCACCATGGCTCGGGCAGTGGTGGTCAACGCAGCCCAGCTGGCTTCTTACTCCCAGTCCAAGCAGTTCTTACTGGACTCTGGTAAGTTGTGTTGCAATGAGGCGCCCCCCCCGTTCCATGCCTCGGTTGGCGTTCCAGTCTGACAGTCATGCTGCAAAGGTCCTCCCCCCCACCCCCACCCCGAGGCCTTCTCTCCCTCCGGAGCCGCCGGCGCGGTCTGGTTGCTGCGAGCCTCTTCTCGCTTTCAGGCTACTTCCGAGACAACATCTTCTGCCACTTCTGCGCCAGCATGATCAGCGGGTTGGTGACGACGGCTGCCTCCATGCCCGTGGACATCGCCAAGACCAGGCAAGGCTGCGGGACAGGGACTCCCGGGCCCAGAAGCAGACGTGGGCCCTGGCAGGAGGGGGCAGAGAGGAGGAAGGGCCAGGAGGGGGGGGGTGTCTGAGATCCGTCAGCCCTTTGCCAGCCTGGCCCCATGGAGGGGGGAGGGAGTTTGGTTTAGCCTCTCACCACGGGCATCTCTCTCTCTCTCTCTCTCTCTCTCTCTCTCTCTCTCCT